CCTCTCACTAAGTGTCCATACAAATATGCTAGCATAATTTCAGCATTAAAGAGCAAGGCTGAAACCAAAAGTAACATAATTCTGCTAGATTTAGTTTGATTTCAGCTTTGGTGCACAATGCTGCTATTGCTTCAGTTGTAACCTTACTGTGACTATTCTCATACTGATAAAAACGGCTCATTTCTGTTACCTTATTTTTCCAGGCAGCTGAATTCCTGCATCTTTTAGCTCAGTTTGATGATATGGGTTTCCAGCAAGCCGAAATCAAAGAAGTTCTTCTGCTGTGTGAGAATCAGAGAGATAAAGCACTGGAAGAGCTCATGACGCGATCGCAGTGACAAATGCCTGGCGACAAAGTGATATTTTTCCAGCATTAGATTGACTGCTGAAGCACCCTTGGCATCAATATCATTATAGAGGCATGATTTTAATTTACGCTAAAAAAAATAATATAGCTCATCTGAAACAAACTCTCAGAGCTGTCTCTCATTTTCTTCTCTCATTTTTGGACATCTCACCCAGGGGATTCAAAGGTTTTATGTCAGAAACAGTTCTCTGCTTGCCCGCTCTGCACACGTGCACTGTGAACTATCTCGGTAGCTTGGATAAGACAGAATTGGGCCCAAACCTCTTCTGGCTTATATATATATATAACTAACTTGTCTGAGTCCTGTCTGACAGTTGTAAACCAAAACGTATTGGCTTCTCCTTTTAAAGGAGAAAGTTAAAAAGAACATTTGATTAACTGAGTGCAAACAAAGAAAACAGCCTTCTATTGCAGTGATGTGGGTAACTAATGTAACATGTTTGTCCACTGAAGTGAAAAATGGGTTATGCAAGTCTGAAGGCTTGCACGTACAGCCTTTCTGTGAAATCTGGACAGAGGGCTGGAGGAACGATTCTGCTCTGCCGGTCTTTTATCTTGTGTCCAGTTGAAGAAAACTTGGGACAAGGCCACCCTTCCCAAAAGTGGAGAGCAGTGGCTCAGCTAACCGGGTTGTATGTAGACTTTGAGACTCGGAAAATGTTGAGTGAAGAGGTTTTTTCCCCTCTCCTCGGGTAACTGGCACACGAGGAATGCATCTGATCCGGATCACCTTGCTAGATGTCGCTTGGGCTTTGGCAGCTTTACAGAGGACAATGTTTTCACACAGATGAACTCAAGCACTTTATTTTAGTTTGAATCTGATACAGATGTAATTGCTTTGAGTAAGGGATTTTTTTTTGGGGGGGGAATGTATTTATTGTTTCTTTTCCTGAGAAAATGCCAACTGGCACAACTTAGCAGGGACAGTCCTTAATGAGTTGCAAACTATTTACCGTTTTTCCATTGTGTCCTTCCAAAAGATTTCTAAGTCCAGTGGATTTCAGCTAAGTTAAACAAGCTGTCCCTGTGGTTCTTCCCCCATAGCTTTTAAACTGGTGATATATATAGAAAATTTGCTCAATTATTGATCATATCCTCATACAGTATCAGAGGACTTCTTGAGAGCTGGGACATAAGCAACTTGAGTTCAAATTTCAACTCGACTGCAGACTTTCTGTGTTACTTCGGACTTGCCCCTTCACCCATTTTGTAAAATTGGGGGTAAGCCTACTGTATTTCCATTCTTTGTTCATCTAATTAGGCTGTAAATTCCTTGGGGGCAAAGACAGTCTCTTGATATGGTTTTGGAGGGTGCCTAGACCCCTTCGGGCCCCGATCTCTATCCAACAGGCCAGTGAAATAGAGGGTGCCAAGCACTGAACAGCAGACAGTGAGAAGCAGGCCAAAAGACATGGATCAGAGTCAAGAGAAATGGTGCTGGAGTGGGCAATGGTATGAAAAAATAAACAGCACAGATAGATGACAGCACTGGGCTGATATCCATCAAAATCTGCCCTCCAAAGTGAAGGCATGACAAAAAAGGATTGGTCTAGGACAAGGACATGTTGCTAAGTAAGGCTGGCCATCAAACAATAAATTCTTGATTCTTCCCCTCCAACCCTTGGAAGGTGACTTCCAACAAGCATGGGACTGGGATTTTCTAGCCAGGTTGCTAGATGTGTGAATACATTTAGCTGGTTCCCAAGACTGTTCAGCTGGTCTGTATCCTTCCCACATGAACAAGGACAGCAGCTTTCCTCAGACCAGCTTCAGGTCCAGTATTTGTTTGATGATGGACCAGGCTATCAATGATCTTTTTGAACAGGGATACACATGAGAGCTTTTCATTGATTAATGGCAAGTCCAGCTGGAAGGTTCTGGGGTTAATTTGCAGAATGGCTCCAAAGAGCTGTAGGGATTAAGAATTCAGTTTCTTGGTTGGCCTATTTTAATCCAGATGTTGCACTGATAACCAGACTATCTCCAGCTGTGATATGAGGAACCTTCTGAGGTTATTGATCAGCATTATCTGTGTAGGTTTCTTCCATGGCCTTGAGGGTAGTTCAACATGGATGTCATGAAGTGGTTGTACAAGGTTTGAGGCTGCTTGGATATGAGAAACCCATGGCAAACTGGAGTGACGTTTCAAGGAAAACCCCTAATTGGCATAGATTGCGCTCTGTTTGGTAGACGTGTGTTCAGAAGCTTTCTAGGCAGACCATCAGTCACCTTGATGGGAGCTGATACACTCATAGTTATTGTTCAGTCATCTGGTTCACCCATTCGGCTTGGCTGTCGTCTAAGAGGGTGATAGGCAGGTGAGCTGTGCAGAATGGTTCCCTGCAAAAATGAGATGGAAATTGAGCTCTGTGCTCAAACATGGTGTTGGCAACCTAGAAAGCTTGAAAATGTGAGGATTTTTGGATATGATACGAAGTGTGATATTTTGTGAGTGGATCGGCTGCAGCGAGAATAACCATATACTTTTGACACAGCTAAAGCAACAGTGACATTAGTGGAATTGGCTGGCTGTTTTTGGGGAGGACTGAAGGGTTTGCTCTTCATCCAAGAGCAAACTTGACAAGAAGCGATATGTGTTGTAGTATGTGATGATACTTTTGGCCACCAAAAGCTCTAGGAAGTGACCTGAGTGTTTGGGAATGGCCCAAGCAACCAGCCAAACAAGAATCACGCCATAGCGTCAGCACCAGTAGTGTAACATTGGGTGGGTGAGTGGGGCCTGGGCTCCAGGTGCTGCTTAAGTGGGGGGGAGTATCAGAAGGATGGGCTGGGGGCACCGTACCTTCCTGTCCCATACTCCAGCTGCTGGACCTAGCTAGCTCGGGCCGTGTGTGTCATGGACTGCAAGGCATTCTGGGAATCGTAGAGTGATTTCTAGACCAACAGTTGAGTTGGCTGCTGAGGGAAGAATTGATCCCACTTTTTTGCCACTGAATCGTTTTTTCTTTTTTTTCCCCTTTTTGAGATGGGCTTCAATGATGGCAAAAAAGTGAAGTGAAAGTTTCCCCTGCTGCTTGCTGCTGCTCCGGTGCACTGCTTCGCGCTGAGGCCCAAGGTATAGGAGGAAGGAGGGGCAGAAAGGCAAGGGAGGACTGCTTTGGGCATGGTCTTCCCATGCTATGCCTCTCTTCAGCACCTCAGGTCATGGTCTGCCGTCCAGGACATAGACTGGATCTTTGAAGAGCAAAAGTCTGCTCTTAATCCAAAAATTCCGGTCAGGACTTGAACTTTCATTAGAAGACGCAGTTTTGGCAGTAAAGGGCAGGCTGGATTTGATGGGTAGGCTGGATTCAATGCAAGACTTAAGTCATCGTTCAAGACAACACTGACTAAATGACAGAATTCCCAAATTACAGGGTATTTTGAATGTTGTTTGCAGGATTTAGATGTTCACCTTGGCTAACGAACAGGCTTGACTTGCATTTTTTGGTGGCAGAAAGGTACATCAGAGCGAGGTTGAATGTGGGATCGGTGTGGTTCAAGGCATTTGTGGAGAACAAATATCCAATGTTCTTATGGTCCGCAAATACCTGGACTGGACACTGCGTGTCCTCGAGATGAGGCTGTCCTTGTTGAAACCATCCTTGATGGCCAGGAATTGCTTGTCACTGATTTCATGTTTCTGCTCCAGTTTGTGGGACACAAGGAAGAGAGTGACATGATGGGATTGACCCCGTCTGGTGGGGCTGGTGAGAGTCTCATGCTGCAGTGGGGATGGTGGAGTCAGTGTGGCCATGTGCAGCCCTTTGCTCAATAAGGACTTTTGTCACAAAATTCACAGTGCTGCCTGGGGTGAGGTGGTCTGAGGCTGCTGATACACCCCTCACCTTGCACACAGATGCTGTTCAAAGAGGTTTCCTCCTTTGCAAGTGGTGTAGCGATGCAGCCAGGTGCTTGGGGCATGGGCAGCAGCAACTTCTGGTTGGTGCCACGCCACCAGTGTGCTCATGGTCACATAGCTGTTGTCAGCACCTGTTTTATTTTGCCCACTCCCCTTTCCTCCCACGGGAGCACCCAGGACAATTGCCCCGATTGCCTCACCCTGGTTACACCACTTCCTTGGGTAGTTTTCTGTTGTCTGTTTACAGCTCCAAGAGCGGGTTGCACTCAAACAAATGCTCTTTTTGGATGCCCTTGGGTGGTCACACTTCTTCCTGTGCTGCAGCTCATCGTATAATCCATCCCAGCCATGTGGGCCGCTGGGCTTTCGTTGATTAATGTCTCCATGGATGTGCTGTCAGCCTGCTGCAGGATTTTGGATAGTTCCCCCTAGCAAATGCCTATTGCTAATACTGAGACATCTATGTCCTATCTCCCTTCACCTTCATTGCATCATGAATGAAACATGGCAAGCTCTGGCATGGGGCCAGACGCTGTGCCACGATACGTATGTCGGGGAGCCCACCGCAGCTGTAAGCCTGGTAGAAATAATTTAAAGCTCTGGTATGGTTTCTCCAAATCCCAACACGTGCTCTTGGAACAACTGGTTTGTATAACAGGTTCTCACACGTAGCAGGGGTGCTGTGTCCTGAAGCTCACATATATGGTTTCCTCTTCAGGACTTTTTCACTTTGTTATACGAGCTTTTATTTTTGAACGCAGCCCTTATAAGGCAAGGCCATTCGACAGACAGAATTTTTCATCACATTTCTTGGTGCCAAGATGATGTCACCTTGGGAGAAAAAAAACTTGCAAAAGGTCAACCGATGATTAAGGAAATATTTTAAAACGTTACTTTAGTCTTTGGAGAAGTAAACACAATTAAGATTTGAAAGAGCATATAAGTTGCGTGTTCCACACCAATGACTGTAAAACATGGAGTGCTGCACTTACAGTGCAGGAAATCAAATTTGCAAATAGTGTTATGCCCACTCATTGTATAAGGGATGAATGTGGCTCCTGGGCCATGGTTGAAACCATTTATTTAGAGGCTCCTTGGCCTTCTGGAGTAGATTTTTTTTTCTCCCATCTGTTCGGGTAAAAATAACGTCTCTCTCTACCTTCATGCAACTAAAAGGTCTATGTAAGGGTGGCATATAGAGTTGATGGGAAATGACCTTCGTGTTACTTCCACTTCAGCTTTGTAGAGAGATGGGTTTATGCATGTCCCTCTGAACTTTGCTACATCCTTGTCCTGTTTGGTCAATGGTAATGTGCATTTCTTTGCTCAAGTGCTACATGTACAGAGGCAGGACGTTGTCTTGTATTAGTATTCATTTCAGTAAACCAATACATTGTGGAAGAAAG